TGTCATATAAACATGGACTTTTGCATTCGATCAAATCATTAACCATGTTATAGAGCTTCATATTTGTGTGAATCAATTAGGGATTGACCAATACGTCGTTGAGGCAGACTGACTGAACATTATTTGGCCACTTTTAGATAACTTTTTTGCAGATTATTTATTTTTAATAAACACGTGTCAGTTTTGACATCTACCAGCAGCCTTGGCTGATAATTGATTCTTCCCAAGACTAATAAAAAAAGTAAGTAAACAACTCACACGCTTAGATATAACCACTTTGTTACATCAAAATAAGACTTAAAATAGCCTGAAAACATGATCAGTGGGAGTTTTTAGTGAGTAATCAGCTTTGTGAACTTTAAGGTAAATCTCTGGCTGAGCTCTGTTTTCTTTAGTTGGCATGTAAAATCCCAAAACCATCCATGTGATCACAACTGCTACATAATATCAGCACAGACACAGCCGGGTTATATTGACCGTCTCAGGTTAGAAAACATGGCACCTGTTTGACGGACTGTTTAACATCCTGGTTAACGATTATTTGTCAATATGTAAGAAGCAGGATATTACAGATGTCCTCAGCATATTCCGTTAATGAAGGTGACTTTAACAGATTAAATAAAGTCAGTGTTTAACTAAATCACAGTTTGAAGTGCAATAATATTAATGAATGCTAAGTTAATGTTCTAACCAGTTACGACAACAACTTTCTAGCATCAAGTAATTTTTCCATCCTTACTAAAAATGAAAAAGCTGGGTCAGGCAACATTTAGAACATATTTAATGGTTAATATGTAGGCATGATATTAACAAGAACAACCAACAAAATGTCTTGTTTTGTGTTACTTGTCACACTTGTGGCCATTTAGAGCAAGAACTATGAGATAAGATTGTGTCTTATCATTGTTTAACCTGATTTGCAACATTTCTTACCAGCTCCATATTTGTATTCCTGTCCGTCTGCTCTCTTTGTGCAGTAATGTCCAGCTGGTTGAAGGACGGGGTGGTGTTGGAGGGGACGGGCAGTGGTCAGATGTCGCCCCGCTCCAGACTGCGGAGCCCCTTGCCGAGTCGGACAGCGAGGTTACATTCGTCCAATGATGCGACCTCTCCTGACTCAGACAGACAGGACAGAATGAGCAAAGCTAAAGAGCTCTTTGAGCTGTGTGATAAAGAGGGGAAAGGATTCATCACGAAGAGAGACATGCAGGTGAGACTGGACATGTGATTTCTGTAGTAGTAGTTACACTAGGAATGTGTTTAATGTGTCTTCTCATGTTTAAATCCACCAGCGGCTTCAGCAAGAGCTTCCTCTGTCTCCTGAGCAGCTGGAATCAGTGTTTGAGAGTTTGGACAGAGACAGAAATGAATACCTCACACCCCTCGAGTTCCACACGGGCCTAGGTTAGTGTATATTTGTGCATTAATATTTTCATTTAAAAAACTGTGTATAAAGTTGTTTTTAAAAAAAAAAGTTTAATTGTTAT